AGATGGAAAAGTTATTTCTTCTTATTCTTCCCGATAATGCGATTTTCACTCAACGATAAAATTATTTTCCCCCACATTTGTTTTCGCGATTCTTGTTTATTGCTTGCATACGAAAGGAAATTTTCTTAGAAAAATAAAATTCAGCAGAATTTATTCTCCCCTTTCATGATTTGTCTCGGATTTTATGCTTTCAATGCACAGTAAAATAAATTTTGTTGTTAGATTGAAACTACATATAATCGCCTTAAAATCAGATTATACTCGCATTTATTTCCATCTTACGTTCCGTCCCTCCCTTGTGCCGTTATGTCACTGTCTGATTAAATTGATTTCCATGGTTATTTGACAATAAAAGGAAGGAAATGTGTTTCATGTTTGTTTTGTGATTTTGTCTTAAGTCGTGAAGAAAATTAAATACTTGGTGTAGCAACAAATTGCGAGATTCTCATGATGATTATTATCGCATTTCATTGTTTAAGTTACAAATGCTCCACCACAACAAATTCCACAAGGATTATTGCAGCAACAAAGTGTGATAGATGATAATGAGACGTTCTACAGCATCGGTTTAATGTCATCGGATAAAGTTAAATTCCCTGATGAAGAAATTAACGATGATGAGAGCTTATATGAAATTATTAATAAAACTGAAGGATATGAATTTAAGCATCGCATCATACGACAAACGATGATGCAAACGATAACGAAAATAGATGTTGGAGTTGAGTCACAACTTTTCGTTGCTCCTGGCTCGACATCAATTATTTATTTCGATGTAACAAATTTAAGAAGCGAACCAACTTTACAGAACTTTAATGTTCAGGATGAAAACAGATATTTAAGAGCGATGGAGCCAACATTGTGAGACCATTTTAATATGCACAAGAAAAACAAGAAGAAAGCTTAACTTTTTTTTATTTCTCTTCACAGCATGTGGTTGATGCCGAATCAGAAACAAACTGTTCGTGTTACTGTCGTTGTTCCTACCGGAACTGAGTTAGGCACAAAAGACAGAATAACATTTACTGCCAATGGAGTAGTTCAAGCAACTCAGGCTGTTGTTATTACAGTTGCTACCAATGGAATTGTAGACTCATGGACTCCATGGCTTTGGTACACTTACAGCACGCGGTGTGATTGGGTCGATAACTGTGTGGGTCAAATTTGGTCTATTGAAGTTGTTGCGAGAGACTATGAATCTGGTTTATTAAGTATTCGATCGAACCCTGAAGGGATGATTCTTCGAGCACCATTCGATGCTGGAACGAACGATGAAGTAAAAGCAACATTTTCAGCATCATGCTGCGAACCTCGTGTGACAATCACCGCCTACGATCTGAATCGTAATCAAAAAACGATTGATTTAGATGTCAATGCTCCTTGGTTGAGTGAATATGGAATAGCAACAGTCGTCTTAGGAGTGCTTTTCTTCATTCTCCTTATAACGCTCATCATTATTTTGATCGTTTGGTGTGTCAAGCGAAAACGTAAAGACAATGGCTTAGATGGCACAATTTATTAATTTATTATTCTTACTCAACAGAGAAGTATCGGATAACAAATTCTCCGTGAAGTATTTCGACTATTTGCTATTAATTTGAGAGACTAATACAAATTTATTATCAAATATTTCTTCTTACTCTGTCCTTAAAGATGATGCAGCAAGAATACAACTTTGACAAATGCTCCGTCATTAGGAAATCTTTATGGCTATAAATGAATCGATTTATTATGTCAAGCACAATTCATCTTTCTCGAGCTCAAGACAATGTCGTGCTTGGCTATTAATTTTCTATTCCAGACGTGAAACATGTTTTGTTGCTGCTTATTGATAACCGATGGATGAGAAGAAACAATTCAATGATGGTCAATAGATTTTCTTTCCCTTTTTCAATCTCAAAGCAAAATGCTTGTAATCAATTAATATTTCCTAACAATTCTCCAAACATTTGTCAAAGATATTTTGTAATTAATTTTCGGTTTATGGCAAATTAAAAGGATTTCAATCTCAAAATGTTTGTTAAACTTCAGAGATGGGAAAAAGGGATTTTTCGTTCAAAAACAATTCTTTGTTTCAGAGAGGTTTTCAATTTTATTACAGGTTTTACTTTTCCTTTTTTTTTTCTTTTTACTTAGGGATTTTTTTTGGATAATTAAAAAACTTTAAATTTATTTAGCATTTATCTAAGAATGTGATTTTTGAATTTTTTTGTAAATATTGTTTGTAAATATGTATTGCAAACCCTGTCTCAAAGTATATTGATAAGAAAGTTTGAAGTGTTGACTAATTTAAATATATTCATTTGAAATAAGCGTAAAGCTCTTATCACTACAATATTATGAGTGTATTTCACAAAATCTTAGGTCCACTGTGTGCCTTGTTTTCTCGGATAGTGGTAAGTGATTACAGGTGACACCTTTCATAGTTTGATTTGTAAGGGGCCATTATAGTTTGTGGAATTCAAGTGAGTTTAATTCGTTCTGATTTTTCATTGTACTTTAAAGTGAGAACATGCTATAGAGAGAGAGATGACTGTAAAGTGTTTTCCTAATCAAATGAGAGAAGTGACCTACGACTTATTTATATTTATAAAAAACGAAATCGTCGAATAAAGTTTAGTAGAATTTCAGCTTCAAAATGTTTAAGTTGTTTGCTTTCGTTTTGATTATTTTTGCTTCACAAGGTATTTTTTTTAATAAAAGCTAATTTCAAATTTATTGCAATACAAAATATATTTTAAAATTTAGGAAATGCAACTGAAGAAAATGCATCACTAGTTTCTCAATGCATCATAAAACCTTATACCGTGTCATAGGTAGACTGTCCAGCAGTTCCTGCTTGTGGTAAAAACCTTGTTCTTGCTAAACACGTTAAAGACGGGAAAGAAGTTTGTTGTTGTAAAAGTAAGAAGAAGTTTCTTAGACAAAGTTTTTATAGTCATTATTATTTTGATATTGTGTTTAAGATGAAGGAGATGTCATACCATGTGGACCAGAAACAGCTTGTAGACGACAGTGGACTGCCTGGAGACCCGAACCATATTGTAAATGTGAGTTTTACAATGACATCGTGGAAGGATGCCCACGTGGCTTCAAGTGGGATCTTTGGGATAGTAGATGTATTGCTGATTGTCCATCTGGTATATGCGCTTAATATGTTACAAATCGAGTTCTATTTTAACTAAACTGAATAAATTACTTGGTTTTGTTTCACAACTCATTTCAATTATTTCAATTGTGTATTGCCCAACCCTGACTGAATTTGTT